GGCCTCCCGGTGCCCTCGCTGGGCCTCGGGGCCGTCCACAAGAACGGCTCGGGGCGAAAAACTGGTTCCGGGGAAGTGGTCGGGAGGTCGGGAGCGCGCGTCTCGGAAACATCGAGACGTCGGATGTCTGGGAGAGGGGGTCAGTCAGAGCGCAGGATCTTGCAGTATCCTGCAGGGCCAGGGGCGCCCTGGCCTGGGCTCGGGTGCAGGATCCTGCCGAATCCTGCAGGATATTGCAGGCCCTGCAAGGCCTGACTGGCCCGGGCCAGAAGGTCCCCGATGCCCCTCTCTCCTTTTCTGTCGAAGCCTTCGAAGTCTCCGTGGACAGGGAGGGTATTGCCCAGCCCTGCCCCCAAAAGCACAGAAGAGACGACCCCAGGCGCAAGGACTCCTCGGCATCGCTCGGGCGCGCGCGTTTCTTCTCGGCGGGGGCCACTGGGGAGCATCCAGGAGAGGGAGGAGGGAGGAGGGAGGAGGGAGGAGGGAGGAGGGAGGAGCACCCTGCGAACAAATGCACGTACGGGATCGAGAAATGCGCGGGGAGAGTGGACGTCCGAGCGATGGCGGGACCTCCGCCCGCCCGCCGCCCATTCTTCCGGGCAGCCCGGCGAGAAAGCTGGCGGCGACAGACGAAACGGCGGCGGCGCTGCAGCGTGCCTCCGACTTGGGCGCTGGGGCGCTTCGCTTCCCACCAGAAAGCGCGGCTCGATGAAAGCGGAAGCAGGAAGAGAAGGAGGAAGAGGGGGAGGGCCCAAGCGGATACTCCGTCGCGAGAGCCAGTGGGAGGATAATTTCGTGAGGGAGAGGGGTGAAGGAACGGGGGGAGAGGGAGGGCCTCCTGCGGGCTCCCGCAGGGGCTCTCGTCGGGGGAGGGTTGGAGGGGCGAGAGCAGCGGACGGACGGAGAGAGAGAGGGGGGCCGGAGACGACAGCGGGGAGGGGAGGGAGTTCCTCCTCGTCCTCCTCCCCGTCCTCCTCGCCCTCCTCGTCGCCGTTCTGCTCTCCTCTCGTCCTCGTCCGCCTCCGCCTCCTCTTCCTCCTCGTGTCTTGGCAGTTGTTGTGTGTTGGCCTCCGGAGGCCTCCTCCCCCCCGTTCCTTCCCCCCGCCGCCCCCGCACAATGTGAGCAGTAGTTACTCTTCTCTCTCCCCAGAGTCTGCGATCGGGCCTCCGCTGCTCCCGCATATCGTGTTCTAGCGCACAGGATGTCAAGTGCAAACAGCGAATATAGTTGATCGTCAGTTCGGGGCAAGTGCCCACATGGTGTTCCCGCTCCCGTCGCTCAGAATGGCAATCTCGCTTCAGCGCGGGCCACATTCCTAGATACGAGTTCTTCCTCGTCGTTGTCGCCTCCGCCTCTTCCCCCTCCTCCGCGTTTCCCTGGTCCTCCTGCGCCTAGCGCTCCTCCTCCTCCTCCTCCTCCTCCTCCTCCTCCGCCTCCTCCGACCGTCGCCACAAGCAGTCGCCTCGTCGTCTACCTGCACACAGGCGTTAGATCGCGAGGCACGGTCTGAGCAGGAAATGTGGCAGGAACGGGGGCCGCAACTGTCGGCACTGCCTGGGCAGAAACATTCGCAGTCAGTATCCTGGATCGATCATGTCTTCATACCGCTGGCACATGTGGGTCGTGTCCGGAGATTTCAGCTGCTGTATCGGTCAGCTAGGCGCCTACAAGCTATTTCTGACAGTCGTCCGCGTGACCATGTGCCTTCGTTGCTGGAGATATGCTTGCGGCCGTGCACCACTGATCGTGAGCGACGTCGGCGCTGGGACGATGTGGGCCTGGGACAGGCGTTACGGTCAGAGTTCTTCGCTGATACATTTCGGCAAAAGGTTGAGGAGGCCATAGGAGAATTCATGAGGTCTAAGGGTGCTGAGAATGTTGAGGAGTTAGTGCAGCCGGCAGCGTCTTTTGAGGAAGGCTGGGCTCTTCTGGTTGGGTTACTGCAGGACGTGGGTCTGGATACCTTTGAGGCCACACCGGCTGCGCTCCCAGCGGCCTACCAGAAATTTGCGCAAAATTTGGAAGCGGCTCTAGTTGCTAGTGGACGGCCCGTGAGGCCCTTACGGATGATTCCCAGTCGGTGTTGGCATTGTCTCGGCTTACGAGGAAGTGTAAAGCTATGCGTCGTGAGCTGCGAGAACTTCGTGAATCCCAACTGGACGAAGAGCTAGCTGATGCTCAAGCTGGAGGTCTTGCTAGTGAAGAGTGGCGTATATGTAGGCGTATGGCGGGGGCTGGAGCGGGACCACGTCGTCGGAGGTTCGGGCACATCGACGCCGACACACCTAGCTTGGATGACTGGATCGAGGATCTTGCGTTGCCGTCGAGCGAGGGGGGGCTGTCCGCTAGGCTGATCTCCGACGAGGCGTTCGTGAGTGGGGCCTCCCGCTATGACAGCCATGAACCACCGAATGACGACGACATCGCTTGGGCCACAGAGGACCTCCTGAGGATCTCGAAGGGTTTCCGTACAGCGGCTCGACGACGGGCTGCAGTTCCCTGGAGTCTCCCGAATGAGGTTTGGGCTCTAATATTGACTCAGAGGCCTGAGGTTCGTGATCGTGTTGCTGGTCTTGGGGCTGCTGAACCCTTAGGGCGTGGTGAACTTCTTGGGCGATGGGTGACAGGCATCTTAGCTAAAGTTAGGCAGCACGGGCGTCTTGTGGCACAGTGGAATATGTCGTGTACTTACCAACTTCCTAAAGATAATGGAAAAGTTGGAACACACGGCACGAGACTGTTGCATGGGTTGTGCGCTTTTGGCAAAATGTGTGTGAAAACAGCTGGACGCCAGGCCCGTCAGATTCCCTATTATGATTACGGATATCTCCCGAGTCGTTCACGGACTGGGGCTGTTAGGACTACTGCTGCATTCACTTGGCGTACGCAGAAGGCACGCAATACGTTCGGTTCTGTGCGTCGCACTACTCTCGACTCGGCCGCCGTTCGACTATATGCCCCTGCTGACGCTGCGATACTTCAGCAACGTCATCGTAACGCTTGCCTTGGAGTGTGTGCCGAGGGGGAGAGTCTAGGGCCTTTCAGAACTCGGAGGGGAACTACATGGGGGATGCGAGCGAGGCTGCGGTGTTCCAGGAGGCTTTCGCTGCGAGCATCATGATGTGCATCAGTCTCAGCTCATGGGTACCTGTTCTATTGCTGGAGATAGATGCGACTTATCGCTGCGAGTGTTCGCCGATGATGTGAACAAGACCCACGTGGTCAATGATGTTGCTTCCGCAAGGCAGACCATTGGCTGCTCGGACCAGCTGCTGAATCGAAATCTCAATGCGCATGGCATCCTTCAATCGGATGGGACAAAAGCAGGTTCTTCCTCACTTCGTCGGACATGGAACGCATCGTTTCTTGAGGGCTGTCTTCCAGGGCCAGAGCACCAACGAGCTTTCGGGGATTGTCTTGCCCATCATTCCGTTCCTGGGGACGCTGTTTACGCCGACGGGGCCCTGGGCACCTGAGATTGCCGCGAGGTGTGCGGCCGTGGCCCGAGGACGGGCCCATATGAGACGTTTCTGGACACAGTGTACGTCGTGGAGGGCAAAAAAGATGGCCTTTCAGAGTAACGTCATTGGCGCTGCCGTCTCGGGACTTACTGCGTGCGTGCTCTCTCCCTCTCAAGAAGCTCGTCTCGACTCCGCGTGCTTAAGGTACCTGGGAGTCTTGCTCGGGGGAGTTGCAGCGGCGGTGCGGGCGCAGGCTGAAGACGGGAGCGAGACTGTCGTCATTCGTACCCCATCCCGCTGTCCAGTTGTGGCGACGAGCTGGTCTTGTTCCCATAGGCCTAGAACTACGTGTTCAGAGACTCAAAGAGTGGCAAAAGATCGCGCGCTCACCCGGCTATCATATACAGCAGTTGACTGCTGTGTTTGGCACCCTGGACCTCGAGAAGCCCGTGGAGTCGCCCTTTGCCTGGTTCCCTGCGAGTGCCCCATCCACTGCAGATACGTCTCGGTCGAACTCTGGGCTCGCCAATTCCCCCAGGACCTGGAATATTGGAAATGCACGGAGGAGGGGGAGGCGGTGGTGGAGGCGACGGAGGGGGACTACCTCAGCGTTTTCAGGAGCCAGTCCGAGGCCTTCGAGGCCTTCCAGAGATTAGACTTGCAGCAGCATCGTCAAGAGTGGCTTTTACGGGATGAGAGTTCTGGACCTGCACCCCCTGAACCTGGTGAGTTAGCCGCTGGGGATGATGCACGTTGTCTTCTTACTGATGATGGGCTGGTGCGTGAGAGGCGCCCCCTTACGCGCAGGGCCGTATTGGTTCGCCAGCGCCAGGCCACTGGAGGCCAGCATGGGTTGCAGAATGTGTTATCGAAGATCACCGTGGCAAATCAGTGTGTCTCGTGCTCCTCTACCTTTCGCTGTCGCGACACGGCCGCCCGTCACTTGGTGAATGCATATAGCTATGGAAGGTGCCGTGTGGACTCTTCTCAGTATGATCCTCCCATTGCTGACCCCGAAGTTCGCGCGTGTCCCGTCTGTCGTGGGCCCTTTGAACATCTTGAGCTATTGCAGAGGCATTTGGCTTCACACTTACCGTTACCTGTGCCGGAGTTTGTGTGGCATGTTCTCAGCGGCCCCTGCAGCGAGTTCGTCGGTGTCGAGCGGAGGCGCCGAGGGGCCAGGCCGTCGCGGCCAAGCCGCGGGCGAGGAGCCGCGCAGCAAGCGTCCCACCCAGCGCCAGAAGTCCAACAAGAAGGTGATCCAGCGTGCGGTGCCGATCTTGATGAAGCTGCTGATGAACGTCACCATGCGCCAGCGGCAGCAGGAAGCGATCACGCCCATCACCCTCATCATGCCCGAAAACGCCGTGCCAGTGCAGAAGGCGCGCGGCAGGGCGCGCGGGTGGGTGGAGACCGCGCAGGACCTGCGCGCCAGGGGCAAGACCGAGGAGGTAGACAGCAAGGGCACGATCTCGTGTGCCGCGCTCGTCGGCCTCGTCGAAGGCTGTCTCGAGGCGGGGCCGGCGGTCGGCGCCGAGAACCAACGGGAGGTCCAGAAGTGGCACCAAGAGGTGCAACAGCTGGACTTGCCGACCGCACTGGCCCGCTTCCCGTTCGTGAAGGTGCAGAATGCACACGAGACCGACAAGGTGAAGATCCTACTCGTGAACGAGCCCCCGCTCAAAGCGTTGACCGACTGCTTGGAGCAGCTAGGGGCGGTCAAAAAGGTGGGGGTCGCCCCCATGAACCACCTCGAGCGTGTCTTCCAGACCTTCCTGAGTGGGGGCGAGATGGAGTGAATGTTCATGGTGAGAGAGACCTGAATGATCTTCAGCTGTCGCCGGTACTTCCTGAGGATGGACGAGATGGAGTGAATGGTCATGGTGTGAGGAGTGATTTGAATGATACTCGACTTCAGACTATTGCGACGTCTACTGACGATGGGGTGCAGCAGTATGTACGTGAGCATCGTGTTTCGTGGGATATACCTCCGCCGTCGGCGGCTTCCAGGTGTTCGAGGGCTTCTGCACTTGAGGCCCGCGTGCCTGTTGCCGCCGAGGCTGCCTTTTCTCCTCCTCTTCCTCTTTCGTCGTCTGAGCCACGTCGCCGTCCGTCGTCGGTTGTCCTCCCTCCGCTGCGTAAGCGACCTCGTAGAGAGAGCGGCACTGTCAGAGTTTTCCGCGATGCCGGTTTCGATTCTAGTTTAGCGGGGTCCGCGGCCCGTCTCCTGGGGTTTAAGAGCTGATTCAGGTGGAGGGCTTAAAAGCTTTGTGAGTTGTGGGAGGGCTGGAGGCCCGAAATTCGCGGCAGTTATGTCGGCCCTAGGGCAATTCGCGAGTGTGGATGTCACTCTTTGGCCCCCAGAGGTGTCTGTCTGTCCGCCTCCTCCCGCTCCTCCTCCTCCCTCTCCTCCTCCTCCTCCTCCTCCTCCTCCTCCTCCTCCTCCTCCTCCTCCTCCTCCTCCTCCTCCTCCTTCCCTCCTCTCCTCCTCCTCCTCCTCCTCCCGCTCCTCCTCCTCCTCCCTCCTCCTCCTCCTTCCTCCCTCCTCCTCCTCCTCCTCCTCCTCCTCCCCCTCCTCCTCCCTCTCCATCCTCCTCCTCCTCCTCCTCCTCCTCCTCCTCCTCCTCTCCTCCTCCTCCTCCTCCTCCTCCTCCCTCTCCACCTTTTCATCCTCCTCCTCCTCCTACTGCTCCTCCTCCTGCTCCTCCTCCTGATCATCCTCCACCTCCTCCTCCTCCTCCTCCTCTGGGTCTAGGATAAAGTCGGGCTTGTCCCTCTAAAGGGGGCAGATGCAAAAATAATGCAAGTATAGTCTTGGGGCGATTTTTGTTTGCATTTTGGGGGCATGTTTAGAGTATGTTCTATTCCGGGAGGACTTCGCCCCCTGCCGCTGGCCCCCTCTCTCGGATAATGAACAATGCAAGAGCGAAATCATGAGGCCTTGGCGCCGCCGTGAAGCAGCGTCGGGACTTCACGCAAAGATGATGAGTAATCGGCAAGACAAATTGAGAGTATGATGATATTGTTGAATTCGGTGTTGTAGTAATTCGAGCTTGTCCGCGTATGCTGTGCAAAAAACTGTGATACGAAGTATTGCAATGTTGCAAATCCCCCGTGATTTTTTGACCCTGATCCCACCGATCTGCGTGAGGGGTGCCACCTAATGTCAAGACATGTGGCAAATCCCATGTGTATCTACATGAGGAGTGCCACCGAATTTTAGAAATGCGGCGATGCCCATGTGTTTTTGGACCCTGACCCCGCCGATCTGCATCAGGAATGCAACCGGATTTCAGAAATGTGGCGAATCCCTTATGTTTTTGGACCCTGGCCCCGCCGATCTACGTGAGTGGGGTCACCGAATTTTTACACATGTGGCAAATCCCATGATTTTTCGACCCTGACTCCGCCGATCTGCGTGAGGGGTGCCGCTGAATTTTAGAAATATGGCAACTCACATCGGTTTTTCGACTCTGACCCCGGCGATCTGCGTGAGAGGTGCCACCGAATTTCAAAAATTTTGTAAATCCTATCGGTTTGTCGACCCTGACCACGCCTATCTGCGTGAGGGGTGCGACCGGATTTCAGAAATGCTGCAAATCCCTCAAGTTCGACCCTGATCCCAGCGATCTGCGTGAGGGGTGCCACCGAATTTGATAAATGTTGCACATCACGCTGGTTTTCCGACCCTGACCCCGTCGATCTGCGTGGGGGGTGCGACAGAAATTATAAATGTGGCAAATCCCATTGGTTTTTCGACGTTGATCCCGCCGATCTACGTGCGGGGTGCCGCCGAATTTCATAAATGTGGCAAATCCCAAGTGTTTTTTTTATCTGAACCTTGTTTATATGCGTAAGAGGTGCTGCCGAATTATAAAAATGTGGCAACTCCCTTGGGTTTCTTGACCCTGACCCCCGCCGATCTGCGTGAGGGGTGCCACAAGATTTCGGACATGTGGCAAATCCAATGTGTTTTTGGACCCTGACCTCGCCGATCTGCGTGAGGGGTGTCACTTTCGACCCCCCTCAGAAATTCTGAGACCTCTCCCGGGAGGTGCTAACCCGGGCGGTTTTCGCCCCCCCCCCCCCCCCCCCCCGCGCGGTCTACAACAAGGAACAGTAAGCAACAAGAAGCAGATTTGTAACAGCGGAAATTGGAAACTAGAACTGGTGCAGGGAACAGCAAGCCCTGAGCCTACAGCTTGATGGCCCCACAAGGTGGGCGGCGGATTTTTCGTCCAAAATCCGCCTGTAGGGGGACATGCCCGACATAAATCGAGGATTTTAGAAATGGCAGGGGCGCACGTAGCTTGTCCCTCTCCACCCTCCGCCATCCCTCGCTCCTCCGCCATCCTTCCTCCATCCCTCTGGCCGCCCTCCTCCTTCCTCGTCATCCCTCCTCTTCCTCCCTTCCCCTCCTCCTCCTCCTTCTCCTCCTCCTCCTCCTCGTTCTCCTCGTCCTCCAACTCCTCCAACTCCTCCGCCTCCTCCTCTTCCTCCTCCTCCTCCGCCTCCTCCTCCTTGTCCTTGTCCCCCTCCTCCCGGAGGAGAGCGAGGGCCTGGTCCGGGGGGTCGCCTTGGGAGGTCATCTTCGACACAGGCAGCGACAAATTGGTGGCCAAGACGTGGGACACTGTCAAGCGGGAACTTCAGGCGGTGGGCCCAGGAATCGCGGGGGGGAGATGAGGCTCCTCGTTTACTTCGCTCTTCTCCACCACGTCCCCCTTTGTCCACCTCTGTGGGAGATAATATCAATAGGCACACACTTCCGGAGCTCCGCGCGAATTTCTTGGATCGGCGCTGGGCCCCTCAGCGCCGCCCATGGCTCGCTCAGCGCGCCTGGAGAGGGGTCTGGCGCCGATCCAAGAAATCCGCGTGGCGTTTTTCAAGTTGCTGTTGATGCAACCTGCTTTTTTTTCTACAGTCGAAACTGATAGTCAGGACGGTCGACTTATCTCGTGTTCCTTTGCATTCGATTCGATTATTTCGATTCGATTCGTTTCTTTTGGTGGCTTCCGATTCCGATTCGATTCGATTCCGATTTGAGATCCGACTTCTCACTGGAGCCATACTAGCCTCCAGATTTCCGCCGATTCGATGTGTCCCGATTCGGCTGCCGATTCACTCCGATCCGATCCATTTCGATCGCCGATCTGACTTGTCGATTCGATTCTGGGGTCTCCTAGGGGTGCCTTTGCATCCTGGCCTCGGTCCGTCCGTGGCGACCTCATTTGGCCGCGACCCCCTCGAGAAGCTTCGAAACGGCCTTCCAAGGCCCTTGCATCCTTATCGTGCGTCCTTCTTAGAAGGGGCGACTGTACCAAGAGGTAAGATGATGAGGAGAGGAGAGGCAGCAGAGGGAGGAGCAGGCAGCGAGGGAGGGGGAGGGGGGGAGGAGGACAGGGAACATCGGAAGCTGGAACATATTCATTACCAGTGGCGGGCTGTTTTTCAATCCCAAAACTTGCTGAGGGTCGGGGACGACGTCGGAGTGGTGTGGTGCATACCATTTTCCCCGCTTTCCCGTGGAAGCAACGAAACATGTATACAACAGGATCCCGTATACACCAGGATCAGTTTTCTTATGCGAATTTCAGTGCGGGGCCGTAGAAAACGTCCGTGTATAGAGTCTGGTCCCTTAGAAAAGGCAGGCAAGATGATGAGGAGAGGGGGAAGGGGGAGAGGGAGAGATTGGGGAGGTGGAGGCAGCAGGGGAGGGGGAGGGGCAGGGGAGTGGAGCGGGGGGGGGGGACAAGGGCGGAAGAGTTAAGTCGGGCTTGTCCCTCTACAGGGGGAATAATCAAAAATAGTATAAAAAAGTAGACCAGGGACGATGTTTCTAGCATTTCTAAACAATGTGTGAAGATGTCTTGACTATTTTTTACTTTTCGTCCAGAAGCCGCCTGCAGGGGGACACGCCCGCCCTGAAGGAAGAGGGGCGAAGATGGGGAGGAAAATCAGACTCATCGGTTCTACAATGGGCACCATCGGCCACTTCGAGGTTTGACCGCAAAGCATGGAGAAATGCAATGAGATCGAAATGGCATCACCCTCCCTCCGCCCATTCAAGAATGAGCGGCGCCGAAGCTACGACGGGGCATCGAGGCCAGACCACCATGCATTGAGTTTTTAGATTTGCAAGATGCTCAGATTCGCTGTCAAATTGTGCAATGGAGTAGATACTCGGCGAGGGCACCATGTTGACCAGGTGCTGCCATACATGTGTGTAGCTGGTTGAAGGGCTCATCTTCAGGACGTTAACCATGCGGGGACGTTTGTGGCGAGGTCTCCAACTTGACGCAGAGCCGCATCACATGGCGTCAGAAATTCTCAGGCAAGAACGAGATCGTGCAGATCTCTTGCGCTCCGTACGTGGAAGCATGCGGATGGTGGAGACGGCCCCTCGCGAAAGCACACGAGAGAAAGCCTGATTCTCCAAGGGCGGGAGAAAGGAAGGGGGGGGACGGCGAGAAGTGGGAGGATGAGGCGGAGGAGGAGGAAGGAGGGGACACAGCCGAGAGTAGGAGGATTGAGCATCTCTCTCCGCCGGATCCTTGTGCGTCCGGGCTCCCCGAGGTGGTCGACGGCGGCGCCGCCGACAATGTGAAGCCGACAGGCAACATGTACGACCATAACAAGTCAACGTCTTACGTGGAGACAAGATTTGGGAGGAGGAGGAGGAGGAGGAGGGGGGTGAATATTTCGGGCCGCTTCTGTGGGAGTTACAAGTCGTGGCGGCAATTTTCAGATGTGTTAGTGATAGTCGTTGAATTGGTCTTGGTGATCGTACCAGTGGCAT